GGCTTGGAACGAGTGCTAAGCGTGGATTATAGTTTGTATCAGGAGCCCATGTTTGTAATGTTTGGCCGTTAGGAGGGTGAGGCATTCTACGGCCAGCCTTTGCGCGTTAAGTTGTCTATCAGGTTTCGTCTTTGTTTTAATTTTCCAAATATTGTTATGTAGACACCAGGTTTTGCTTTTGTGGGAGGTCATATCCTTCCGTAACTTTTGTCTTTTTGTGCATGCTTGAGTTTACATGGTATACCCTAAAACCCCGAGGGAAGCACCACTGCCTTTGTCGGGGGTGCACGTTCCCTCCTTTTTCCACCTGCTGGGTTTTGGGGTCTTCGTGCCCGGCTTTGGTGCATTTAATTTTGCTTAAAGGTAAAGGACATTTTGAAGCATATTGAAGTTCAATAAACGGGAAGGTGGCTTGGTTGGGCAACGCGCCTATATATTATCATTTTGTGTGCCCGGTTAAGCAGTGAAGGCAAAATACTGTTCATTCAACAATTCGCGCGTATAAAAAATTGCATAATTTAATGAACTGCGTCTTAATTTGTCAAACATTTCAAATCTTGTAGAATTTTACAGTGTATGAGAAGTGGCTGTGAAAAATATTGTTTAGCGACACAACTTGCTTTTGAAGGAACTTTTGACAAAATCATTTTTGCTGTTGTTTCTGGCACATTTCACTTTCTTGTGAACCAGCGGCTAAGGATGCAAGATGTAAAGGAGATATATGTTGATACAAACTGCCAAAAGAAATCTCTCTATTTATAAAAAAATATAAATAATATTGACAAGAAGTAACCTTGCTCAATTTTTTCATAGTCTATTTAAAGTGTGTTGCTGACATAAAATAATATACCACTCAATGAATTATTTGGAAATCAGTTTTATCATACTGTGATTCGGAATGTAAATCAGTTTCAATCGAAGGAAACTAAAAGTAAGATATAAATAGTCTCAAGCTAAATACAAAAAGGCAATTTGGTGGAGTTTTTTTTGGTTTCAGAAGAGTACGTGATCCCTTGGTTCGAAGAGTTTTAAACTTCCCATATGTTGGTTTAGAAAATACACAGCTAACGAAGAATTTTGGGCCTCACCATTTCCTTCAATCGCAGAAAACAGAATCTCTTATTTATGGAACCAAAACGTTATGACAAGTCAACACTATTCAAATTTTGCTATTTTTGTCTATTTTTGCATGTCGGATAAGGACTGATCATTCACTGTATAATTATTTAAATAAGGCAGAGAACAAAGGACGTACATAGTTTCACTTTCTTGTAATTCTTTAGCAACACATTTCAGTAGTAAGGCTTCTAAGGATGCTAAATCGAGAAAAGCAGATATCTTTATATAATCGGCCATTTTCTAAAAATTTTTCTATTTATGAAAAAAATTACAAGAAGTACATTTGACACTATTTGTCAGTTTTCATTTTCTGTTTTAAATTTCCTCCTTACAGATCATAATGCATCACTCGCTGAGTTATTTGGGAATCGACCACTGTTTCATTATCTTGTGACCCTTTTCAGTTTCAATCGAAAAAACTGAAAGTGATCAGATGGTCTCTAGTACATACGAAATAAAATTTTGGTGGAGGTTTTTGGTTTAAAAAAGGGGCGTTTATTCCTAGGTTTGGAGCTTTTAAAATTTTCACTATCTTCCAGGAATTTTTTTATTGGGTGAGAGGGAGGAGAACGTTGTTTGCTGCAAATCAAAATTTCTTCGTCTCTTGTAATTGCCTAATCTCTGTACGGCGTTTTCTCAGGACTTCTCGGCTAATGCACTTTGATGACGTTTCCGAGGCGAAAGGGCGGGACCAGGTGAACCGAAACTCAGTGACCGAGCGAAATTATGAGGCTTGTCAAACAAGAAGTAAAAAACAATCACATGTCTGATAGGCGAGGGTCTAGATCCCCGATCCTCTCCCCTGGATCCACCACTGCTTGGCTTAGAAAATATGCAGGTAACGGCAAATTTGATTAAAACAGGCACCATCTACGGTAATGGCAGAATAATAGACCATTCTACGTCGGTTTTTTCAACTTTTGACTTGGATTAGTTAGGGAAAATCCGTCGACTTCACTGGAATGAGCGCCTTAAAATTAGTAAAATTGCTAAATCTGAAAGTGAAACGTCTTACATGAGAGAAGATATAGCTTAGACTACGAGTAGTCCCCCATTTTTCCTCAGGGATAGTAGAGCGAGCAAAACGCGTGTCGCCTTTTCTCGCGTGGGTTGATTTTCACGCGCGCTCGCGTTTTGCTCGCTCTACTATCCCTGAGGAAAAATGGGGGACTACTCGTAGTGTAGATATAGCTCCGCAAGGTCTGCAGACGTTCGTTTGTATGGTGGGGTGGGGGTGGGGGGCGGGGGGAGGGTCAAGCTTGTTTCGCCACACAAACGTCTGTAAAATTTCGCGACTTTAAGAAGCTATATCTTCGTTAGTTTTTAACAATTCACTTTCAAACTTGGCGATTTTACTAATTTTAAGATGCTCTTTCCACGTGGTGCCGACGAATTTCCCCCAACTTGCCCCCGTCAAAAGTTGAAAAAAATCGTGGAAGGGTCTATTGAAAACTTAACAAGTCAACGATATTCAAATTATCATTTTTTATTTTTGTTGGTCGAGCATGACTGGTCATATTGTGTCCGCCTCGAAGACGTCTCCTTCTCGATGAAACTTTACGCGCCAAGGACGGCGGGAAGGAGAAAGCGCACGAGAAACCTCTTTTTTATTTCTCCTTCCCATGGTCCCTTGCGTTTCGTAAATAGTCTATGTGAAATGCCAAGCGCCTGAGGAGTAGACAGCTTCTGTATCATTAATTAATTAAATAAAACAGAGAACAAAGGAATGTTACGCTGAATAATGAGCTAAAGCCATTCTAGATAATGACTGTCCGGCCAGAATTCTCGCACGCTTCGTACATTGCCCTTGCGAATCAAGTCAAAGCAAACTTTGACTCGAAAGTAACGTGCGTCGCAGAAAAAGGCTTTCAAAGATACATTTAGACTCGCGATTTCGGCGATGACGTCGAATTGTTTCCATCCCTAAGCTAGCAAAACCCTTCTTTGCTATAACACGACAGCATAAATTACAATAAACCGACGAAATAGGCAAAACTTCTTTGGCCTTTTGGCATGCAAAATTATTCCTTTTTTGTAGTGTACAAATTTATTTTTAGCCTTGCGGAGTATTGCGTGATTGTTGCGAACAGAAATGTCCAATCACAGAGCGCGTTAGAAAATTTAGCCAATCAGAGGTGGATAAAGATTTTCCTGCAAACATAAGAACGAGCTTTTCGGCGCCGTTACGCGAACGTACTATATCGAATTCTCTCTGATCTGGGTCTCGAGTGACAAGTCCAGCTGCAACACAGGCTAACCCGAAAGTCACTTTTGTTGCATCTCAAAATTTTGCCTTTTACGCATGCTCAAACTTGAGAAGACGACCAGAAAACGACTTGAAAACACCTTTTTCGCTTGTAACTTTTGTTTTCTCATTTGCGGCCATGTTACCCAAGAGAACAGTATTTCCAAATGCCGTCCCACCCAGAAGCAGGTGTATTGTAATTATCATTATGTATAGACAAAAAGGAAAATTTTCTTGAGAACATCACGCGGTCTGAAATGGGAAACAAAAAAAATACAAGTAGAAAAAGTCTCTATCCAGTGTCGGTTGTGCCCGCGGCGTTTTTGGTAAAATCTCCGGATACAAATGGGACTTCGGCTGTTGCCCCTATAAGAACTGGGTAAAATTAGTAGCCTGCAACAAACTCTTAATAAGTAGAGCGGGGAAACGGCTAGCGAGAAGAGGGGGAAGAAAAGACGGGGAGCTTGTAGACTTTGTTTTGATGCGGCCAGTCCGTCCACTTGCAATTATCCTGAAACACATGTCATTAACATATCAATAAGGTAATTACACCTGCCAAATTATGTCTCTTTTTTACGCTTGAATGCCGTGGTTACACAAATTACAACTTGCCAAAAAATTGCAATTATAAAACACGTATCACAAAGCTATGTTTACANGAAGAGGGGGAAGAAAAGACGGGGAGCTTGTAGACTTTGTTTTGATGCGGCCAGTCCGTCCACTTGCAATTATCCTGAAACACATGTCATTAACATATCAATAAGGTAATTACACCTGCCAAATTATGTCTTTTTTTTACGCTTGAATGCCGTGGTTACACAAATTACAACTTGCCAAAAAATTGCAATTATAAAACACGTATCACAAAGTTATGTTTACACGTCCTTTATTAAAACCTTACCGACCATACCTCAAAACTAAGTACAAGGTGACCGTTTTTCTGACATCGTTAAAAGATATGAAGTACCCAAACGAACAAAACACTTTTCTCTTATATTAAACACAATAATGACACATGCACTGGACAAATAATTAACTCTTCTTAGAACCAAAATTCACGTGTCATGGATATTTGTAAAAACGATAATCAAGGCTTCATTCGAGAACCACAATTTTAAACCGTAAAATATTTTTTCAGAACTCAACAATTTCTTTCTTTTAAAACTACTGCCACGAAAAATAAGATTATTTTCAATTTTTTGGTGTTTAAATAAGTTATTGATGAATACAGGTGAATAACAGATAAGTTACGAAATCTTTTGCTTTAAACTACACTAATAAATTCCTTCATTTTAAGTTCTCCTCTTTTAATAATAACTTATAAATTAATTTACACCGTGACTGTCCTACGTCGCCAAATGTAAGGGAATCTAATAAAATCTTGGATTCTGGATTTTGGACTCGAGGTAAAGGATTCTGGATTCTTTGTCAGTGACCTCCTGATTCTAGTTGTTAGTGGGATTTCGGATTCATAGAGCTTTATTCAGGATTCCAAAGCCTAGGATTCTGGATTCCACAGCAAAAATTTCCAGGAATCCGAGATCCATACATTCCCTTACATTGGGTAGCCTACTATATACTGAAACAAAGGCCGGGTCCCTGTAGTTTCAGTGATTATCTCAAGGGGTATACTCTCTTAGGCAGTCGATTGAATTGCCCTTGTGATGGGCGTTACACTGTGTATTTGACCCCCTGGTCCCGCCAGGGAAGTCTCACCCATTAGATCGAGGTCGATTTGGCGTGCAGCCTGTCTTCCCTCTGAAATGGCTGTTACAATCAGAGACTGGCCCCGATGGCAATCTGAAAATAGAGATGGATAGTTAGATCTCTACGTGTTAAAATAAACATTTGCCACTCGTATTTTCACACCCTTGGCACTCATCGTTTAATAATGATAATGATGATGATAATGGAGAAGATTACAGGGAACCCAACTCAAGATTTCATGCCATTCCGAGTGGAAAGCTTCAGAAAATATGGGCTGACTTAAGGCTATTCATCATATCTCTAGCCTACGTCGCAGACGTAATCGTAACGTCTGCAAAGCAGCTCCTTTATCCTTGTTCTGGACCCTCAACGGACTCAACGAATTACCGGAAGTGAGTTTCGAATTTACCTTCAACTTCATGGCGCGTACTCAAATCTTAGTACGCTGGTGGGGGCCTAGAGCAGGGATTTCGGCGCTGTTTCTCAGAGGGACTTCAAGGGTTGCGTCTCAGCTGTCAAGTTCATTTTGTTTTTAATACCAGTTAACGCACGCGAGTTACGCGTCCTTATTCGCAACGAAATTTGAGAAACTACTCGTGCACGACAAAATGATCATTCACAGCTTTATGACAAACAAAACGTCTCCCAAGCATTATCATGATCAGTCATTACAAACAACAAATATGAGCTTTGAAAAACAGTTAGCCTAACAAGTGTTCAAACATCACCAAAGCAATCCGTTTCACTCTTCTTCAAGTTTGTCCATCCTTGCTTCCTTCTCTATTTGCTGTGTCATTTATACCCTATTCTAACTTTTTGCGCGGTTATTTTTGTTTCACTTATCTTTCTGGCCATTCCCTCCGTTTGAATTTTAGTGAGCTTAAGCAAAGAGGTTTTTGAGCGACGCACTTCAACCGAAAGTGGTCTTTTTGTCATTTTTGGACTGTGGTTTTGCCCAAATTTTTGGACAGATCGTCTCTGTAATAGTAAACACACTTAGAAATACAAATTTGGTAGCGTTAACGTGCTTTTAAATGAAAAAGACCCCACTTCTGATTGACACGCGTCGCTCAAAATGCCTTTGTTTGAGCTTCCTTGTGATAAACTTGGCGACGAAGCTCCTTTAGCCAGTAGTGCAAGGTATCTTACCTCCGGTTGCATACACTTTGGGAACACTGGTCAAAAAGCAGTTTTTGTCAGTCGCAAAATTACTCCTGGGATCCTGTGAAGGCAAAACAGAAAATCAGCATTAATTTCAATTGAAAAAATGTGATAAGTCTTGCAGAGGAAGCATCTGTTCATTAAGCCATTAATCATGTAGAATAATTTCAAAAGTCTTGAGTGGTTGTTTACAGTCTCATTCTTCAGACAATGGATACCAGAGGCTTCTTTCTCGCGTGTGGCGGAAATCTTCGCACAAACCGCGCAAGAACAGTCTCTGGCACCCAGGGTACATTGTACACTTCATGCCCTCCCAACCATCTCGCGCTTCGCTTCGATACCATGTCAAGTTATTTCGAGATTTTTTTTCGAGCGCCTTATGATCGAAGAAAAATACGAGTAAACAGAGCTGACAACAGTACATGGTTAACACAAGATACATGTAAGAGTTTTTAACCCGGGGGTTTAAAATAATCACTTTTCACAGCAAACCTATCATACAGGCATCTCTGTTGCACCCTGTCAGGGATAATTTAGTAACCACTCCATGATGAGAAGGAATGTGTAAGCGTAAGAGGGCGTGACAGGGATTCGTTGAACTTGTGAAAGGCGAGAAGTTGATTGCAACAGCCCTAAGATTCACAATAATCTTGTTTAGAGTGGTTAGTTAATCCCGATCTATTATTTACTGCGACTGATTTATGAGCAAAAGTTTAAGTGGTTACTACGGCCCACCACCCTTTCTTTGGTTTCAAAATCAAAAATGGCGACTACAAACAGAAAATACTGAGCGTTATTCGCCCATAAATTACGCCTGCATCTTTGTGGTACGTTCACGAATCACCTATGAACCCGTCCTTCTTACCTTTTTAATTCCAAACTGCTCCGCCAAAGTTTTCTCAGGTCCGAGAAATCCTGCCGCAATTATGACCAGATCAGCTTTGAAAACTTTTTCGGAGTTGGGAATCTCCTCCATTGTCCACCGTCCAGAGGCATCCTGTAATTTAAGAATATCATTTGAGCTTAGCTACTTAGCGCATTTCCTCTAATAACCACCCTCCCCCCTTCGCCCCGCTAGTTTGGGGCAGACTAGCGCATTTTATGACCTCTCGGTGATTCCTTTGAAAATTTATCAGACAACTGCTCTTACAATTATTAAATGACAATTCAGGGTCCTTTGTTGTTTCGATAATGGCTGCTACAGAAAATAATGCGACACATTACAGTGTACAACTCACCTGAACCCAGTTGATTTCCACTGT